CCTTCCCTATGGATGGAATAGGGAGATTGGATCGTGACCCACCACGCGGGCCCAGTGCGGATTGGCGGGTGCTAACGACAGCAGATGCAGCCGGGACCAACGGCTTAACGTGCCTTCCGAAGCACGGAGGAACTCAAGATAGAAGATTTTTGGTCACCCATCCAATGATCGACCACTGCGAAAATTGCTTAACTTCAACTAGGTATCGCAGCCGAACGCGCTAACCACCCGCGCCATCGAGCTCCTCAATCAATATCCAGAATCAATATTCACCCTGATTTAAATATCTGCTAAAATTACCTTTGAGGATTTAATGTTCACACAATTCTGACCACCGTCTCATGAAAAACGGACGTGAGTCTTACTTATATTTTTTCACAGACTACCATAACAATTACCTTGATAAATTTTAAGCATTTCATAATTCTTAGAAGTGCTGTTAATTATTTACTAGGGGAGACTAATGAGTATTTTAAGCGCTTGAAAACATAACAAAAATTTCGTATAACACAAGGTGATTCATTGAAAAAATCAACACTACGTTACCCATAAGCATTTTGCTTATTAAGGCAATATATATATGTATTTTAATGACATGCCATTAATGTACACTGTATTAAATTTTTATTTTTTTGAATTGATTTTTTTTCCTAATAAACTATTGAACTGTTTTTGGTTTTATTTAATTTCGGTCGTAAAATTCTTAATTAAAGCTACAAACTTAAACGATAACGACTTTAATCGACTGTTATAATGCCGGCTCCACACTAGTGCATTGACATACCGTGAACTAATGGTCTGAACTTGCACCGTGTATTCACATCAGTGGTGATGACTATGAACTCTGAAGCCGTGAAACCCAATCACATTTACGTTCAGGCCTGTCACGGAGCTTCACGTCATCATTGTAGAGTCAGCAAAAGATAAGCGGTACGAAGTTCGCTGGGTCAATTAGTTTTCATATATGTTAACAGTTCATGGACGACCTACGTGGCCGAGTGGTTTGTATGCCGGGTTTCATGGTATCATCGTCTCGAGAGGTCCCGCGTTCGAATCCCGGTGGGGGCAGACGTTTGTATGTTGAATACAAGAATTTGTACTCCAGTCATGGATGTTTAATATGTATTTCTATATAAATATATACTATATATGTGTATCCCATAACACAAGCCTTACAGTGCTTACATTGGGGTTAGGCTAATTGGTGTGAGTGTTGCAAATATTTATTTATTTATATAAAAGGACAAGCAATATATAGCATTTTACTCTTGCATGTATCCTTCGATAGTAGAAGTTACAAACTTTAACGATGGTTTAACGTTAATAAAACTGAAATGGTTATCTAATGTATTATAGATAAAAAAAAACTATTAAATGTATTTTTTATTGAGCTCAAAGAGACTTCACACAAAGAAAAGAAAAAATACTCAGGCCTATAAAGTAAGCATTGTTATAGGTAGCATCAACCTAATGTTCCGCATCATCTTGAAGTTGATATCTTCAAAATCGGTTACAAAAGCAGGCGGTGCCCTCTTGCGGTGGGCCCATGTATTAGTTAAAAATAAGTAGCCAGATCAAAGAAATACTTATGTTTTGTATTTTTTAAGCATTTAACTGCTTGATGTTCAAACCTAAAGTAAAGTTTACTAGAAAATCTTCCACGCGGACCAGGCAGCAGACGGGACTCGAACCCACACCCTTCGTTATCCGGGCGAATGCACTGAACATTATGCTACCGCAGCCCTGACGTCCGTGTCGAATTTTCTCTAGCCTTAGGTTGCAAGGCAACGCCACCTCTTCGCATTATAGGTAACCCACAATGTAAAATGAAGACCTTTTGTAAATACTTATCAAATTTAGACAAGATGAATTAATATTTATCACAAAAAAATGATTTAGTACGAAAGAAATTTTTTTGCAGCTAAACTCATTTTATAGGTACCTTTATAATCCGACGGAGCACTTGAAATTGCTGGCTGGGCCTAGGTATAAAACAAAACTCACGAATTATATAATTATTTTGTAGCTGCTCTTGCCATTTGCCGCAACAGATACAAGTAATAACTATAATTATTACGAAGGTAACGAAACGGTGCGGCGCAAGCTGCATGCAGATGAGAAAAACAGTAGTCAAACTCAAATCGTCCGATAGTCAGAGAACATGGAATGATTTAACATATTCATCCATATTTTACTTAGAGAAACAATCTTAGTACCGAAAAGGACACAAACGAATGTCCTTCTCTATTTTTTTTACTTCATTAGAAATTAATCATTGTAAACGGACATTCTGTGATAAAAAATTAAAAGTTCTGTAACTACTACTCAATTTGCTGTCACGTCATCCTTAGAGCCTTAAGAGACGCTTTTGAATTAAGATGTCTTATCTAAATTCAAAAGCGCCTTGAAAAGATGTGCCGTTTGTATGTAAAGCATTTAGGGACAATTAGACCACACAATTTCAAGCGTGCGATATCTAGTATGTCTTGAAATCGAGACTCAGCGCGCTATTTACTAGGTACCTACCCTCCTTAGTTAATGATACTTATCATACTAATCACTAGTGTTAATACAGGATGTTACAGAATTCCGAAATAAAATTTGTAGGTATGTATTCCGAAATAAAAAAATTTAGGTATCTGAGCGGGGCGCAGGGGCGCCTGGGGGAGAGAGGGGGGTCTGTTTAGGTAGTAGTAATCGTACGCATTTATAGGGTTGTCATAGGCAGGTGTAAAACGATATTTTTATTAATTTAATTAGTAAATAAAAGTGGTCTGAAAGGCGTCAAACTTTCGTAGGTAATTCTATACAAGGAACACAGCCAAACCCTAAAGTTTTATTTCGGACTTTTGTCACATCCTGTATATATTTATAGGTAGATAATTTCTGAAATTATGTTAAGATTGTTTATACTCCCATACCATATAACATTTATTTATTTTTATGAAACCAGGTAACATAATGATAACCAGGTACATACCCTAATTACCAATAACAAAATATAGAAACAGGTTAATGGAAGGCCTTTAAAGATTTCATTTGAATATAAATCTATTATTAAATAGGTAAGTACAGGTATCATAGGTGCCAACTACCATCACTCATAAATCAATATGAATATGAGTATTTATTACTTTTATTATATATTTTTTTAATGTTCATTTAATTCATATTATTTAAGTGCTTACATAGTGGTAAACAATAAATCTATTCAGAATATATAAAGTTTACATTTCAACAAATGCCTAATGAGAGTTTATGAATGATTTCCAATTCCCAGCACAACTAGCATATTCTCTTTGCTGTGCGTTCTATAGCATTCAATGTATGGGGAACAAGCAATGTCCTTTCGGATTTATTTTTGCAAAATTATTTTTTGAGGTAAATTACACATTATTTTATTTTGCACTTTTTGTGCATGATTTACATTGAGAGCAAACGAAAAAGTTTTTAGTAAAAACATTAATTTTTGAATTGTTACCATCCGTGAAGATAGAAGAACTTAGCAACGGATATATAGGGAAACTTTGGCTTAACGGATTTTATATACAAGGCGCAGCAGATGCTCTCTCTTCCTCTTTTAGTTGTAGGCGTTGTACCTGAATACTGATCGTCGTGATGTACCCGCCTCATATTTTCTAGATATATCATCTTCCGTGTTTCCAGTAATCTTTAGCGTAATAGGGCTCTATTTTTTTCACACGTCAATTCGTCTTATTAGGCGGCGTCCTCTTGATCTTTTAGCCTACGATTTTCCAGTAACAGTATTTTTTTCCTGGATGTCTAAGGGCTTCCCACCCGACCATATTGTTAACTGTTATATGTAGACTAGTCGCGTAGATAACATATGCTGCTAGCTAGATGACTTCCTCTTGTCAGCCTAAACACAATCCCTGAACTCGTGGAGCCTTGGAACCTTGTTTACCAAAATAGAACCACAACACTAACAAAAGGTAGTGTTTAAATTTAAAGCATACTTTTACTAGAAAAAATTCCATTCAGTCTAGGTTTCAGATAGGATTAGAAACCGCCGAAAATTTACACATCTAGCAAATAAATCAATAAACACTTAAAAATATAATAAAAATTTGTGTTTCAATCAAGATGAACCTAAGAGTAATATTTTAAGTATGTGTACTTTCTCAAACCTTTGCACATCTATGATTTGCCATCATTTCTATCTTTATTTGAACTTTTCTCTCTTGATTTGATCTTTTCATCGTCAAAATATTAATATCCGTAGATCCGACAGAGCGAGATACGCGAAGTAAAGTCATTAATGTTTGTTTGATTATCCTGTGGCCGGCTAACCGGCTTGTTATACAACCTGATGTCGGTAAGACCTACTTTAATACACTTTCATACTGAGGTCGTAGTTATTTTAAGACAAATTGTCAAAAATAACACAGCCTGATAGATAGGATCCGTGAAGCACACCATTAACCCGGGCTTAGGAAATATATAAGCTAACGTTGCCAAATAGATTTCGCTGCTTTACACAACTTAGTCTTTATGGTATATTTGAGGCTATTTTGAAATGCCGTTTTTGTGCCTTAGAAAGTTCTGTGCCTCTTTTATGAATTGCGGTGAAAACCATCACAGGACTTTTAAACAGTTGCTAATTCAATATATATTGGAATAGAAACTCAGTATAACATCCCAAGTTTTGTGTAGTGTGTTTGAAATTATTGCACATAAAAGTAGGAGTTATTTCAAAAAGTACTTACACCCCAAAAAATAATAAATAGGTAGGTACGCTTCGAACTATACTTATATTCATTTTCCCTTATAGTTTTGTAAATTATTTGAATATGTGGTGTGTTATTATTAGCTAAAAAACAGTTTTACATAGGTACTATTAATTTTAGCTTCGAGCTCATTGCAGTTGCATTGCAGCAGAGAGAACCTTTTAAGATCTTTTATATAAGTATTTGTTTACCTTTATTCTAAAACGATTTCGTCAAACGTCAGTAGCCGTATAAAAACCCAATGATACTCACCCTTATTTTATTAAGAACTTATTCACAACCTTAGGTGCATCACTCACAATATCGTCTCGATTCAACACTAGCAGATAGTATTCCTTACTCGATTATTGTTTCATTCTACTTGTTTCGATATCGCGCGGTCGTGCGCAAGAGTGGACGGAGGCGCGCGCGTTCGGCTCAGGCGCTTAGGTGATTGCGTTTAGTTTGCACCGGGCGCACGTTCTTAACCATTTCGACAAGTCGGCTAGCACCGGATGGCCGTAGACGCGGACATTGTCAATATGAGTCCATAAAGGATAGCAAATCAGCTGGCCTTTTTACTGGTACAAACCGTTTGTCAATTCGCAAAACTCCATTTAACTGGGCAACGCATTTCTGAGTTCTAGTAAACGGTATCATTGTTTACGGTTTACTGTATTTGTTTACGAAAATAAGAGCGATTTTATTATGGAAAACCGAAATATATTTATGAAACATTTATGAACTTTTGAAGCTAGGTAAGCTTTGATTAAAAAAATACTTAATTTAGTAAGTAACATAGCTTAGGAATATTATTAGTATTCAAATTTTGACTCAATGAACCTCTAAATCTCATTTTGTGAATTCCATAATTAACGCATGCCAAGCTGATTTTGCATTTTTAGATTTGTATGTCGAAACTGATTAACCGAAACCCGAGTAGATAAAGATATAAAATGCATTTGTTATATCACTTCTGTTATTGGCGGAGCATATCTTTTGTATCGATCTTGTGTCCCTTTCACTTTTAATTTTAGTGTAGATCTTACTTCTGTCTGTTTCGTGTTGTGTTAGTAAAGAGATACGCGTTCTTTTTTTAAACTGTTAATTTGGAACACAAAAAAACATCAGCATTGGAATCGCGACGCTTGTTCATCGGTCGTCATGCTTTGCTTCCGCGCATGGTACAAGCCGTCACATGGACCATTATGACGTCAAACGCTTAGAGTCAGGGAATCTCAGGTGTTAGAGTACAAAGAATCATGTTGGGATTTTTAGTCTATCATGCTAGGGAAGATGCAATATTTTTATTTTTGTTTTCATTTTAAAGAATTCCATGTAGAATAAACCACAGATATATTAAAAAATTAAAATATTGTGATTTATCGGAAAAAAGGCGGTTTTAAATTGATAATTTAAATTTTCGCGCGAAAACGAACCTATGGTTGCGATGACGTCACTCCTGTCTGTCACTGGTCGTACTTGTTCGTTGCTGGCTTTAAATTTTCATACTTTTGCATATCTTTTCGACTTTCGAAATATATTTTTGAAAAGTTTAAAATGGACTATCCATCAACATCGTGTGACTCATGTTTTGTGCCAATCTACTTCAACAAAGTTCCCAAATAAATTGTTTTAAAATAAAAACGTTGCAGTGACATTTCTTTTATATTTTTTTAACATTTTAATCATAAAATTTTCATAAATATTATATATGCATCTTCCCTATTTAAAAGAAGAAAATTGCAATTTTATGAGAGATTCAAAATATTCTTTAAAGTCGGAAAATAAACCTAGCATACAAATACTCGTATGCATCATACTAACATTTTTCCCCACTGGGATCCGAACCGGGACCTCTGGAGAAGGTGACACCTTAAAACCCGGCGTATATACTACTTGGCCACGGAGATCGTCAACTTTAAATAGTAATAATAATTATGCCTTCGTATGATACAGCAATATTCATGTTTTTCTGAAATAAAGCTTTTTTTACTCCATGCTATTTTGATGACATTATTTCTCTATCAATTTCTGTAAACGTTTTTGTTATACTTTGTCAGCTAGATTAGATAGATATTTCCTGGCGTATCGTGTACTCGACAGCAAGCTACTTTGTATGGAATTATAGTACTGTTTATAATATTTAGATAGTCCTTTAATAGCTTTTCCTTTCAAAAAAACTTGCTTTCGAGCAAAAGATACTACAGAAAAAAAGTACGGTGTCAGTGGGCCAGTCACAGTTTAGTATTTGGATGTATGACCCGAGTAAAAAAAGTTTGAGTACCGCTGCTCTAGGGAATACTAATCTTTAAACAGAACACAGGAGCGGGAGATCAGAAAAGGGCACACTAAAAGAAATCTACTACACCCTTTTTATGCAGGACTAGAATTGAAAGAAAAACACAGAATGCCCCAGCTGCTATCCATGCAGATATTAAGCCAAGTTCCGGGTGGTGGTGGCTCAACTTGTCACTATTGTTTCCGAACAATTTCCGGACCAATGCCATATTATGTGATGTCTTGATATGTGATAAGAAAGTTTAACTTAAACCTTCTTTATGTATTGCTTATAACACTGGCACATTTTTATCATCAGTCCGTATATTAATATCACCAATCAATGATGGGGCACAGATTTTCCCTATGAATGGAATAGGGAGAACGGACCATAATTCACCATGGTGCCCAGTGTTTATGCTTAGTGAAACTTCGGAAGCACAGGAGCTCAAATATCTTTGGTTACCCATCCAATACCCGGCCATAACGTAAGTTGCTTAACTTTCAATGTCGTAGACCGTACGTGCTTACTACCTCCCATTTTCACTGTTTATGTTCTGTCAACTTCACTGCCGCTATTTCTACATAAAAATATTTTTAATTTTACATTAAAGCTAATGACTTACTTTTCTCTTCGTCTATCAGGTAGACTCTCAAAAAGCATTGTATTTTTTTTTCTTTTTTAGGGTTCCGTAGTCATAACAAGGAACCCTTATAGTTTTATCATGTCCGTCTGTCTGGCCGTCCCCGGTTTTGCTTGGAGACTATTAGCACTAGAGAGCTGTAATGTGTATTTCAATCATGCCGACAAAATGGTAGAAATAGGTATTAAATATTTTTAGGGTTTTAGTTGTAACCTGGCGATGACTTTATTTTTTTATCGTCTACCCCATCGAGTGGGGTATCATAGAATAGGTCCCTTAAAATTACTTAGGGGTTTGTAAGACTATTTAATAGTGTTTTTTGTGAACTTTTAAGGAAAATTATAACGGTTAAAATAGATTTGTTAGAATAGTCGTACAAAATATGTATTAGAAAATTTCTGACTTAACAAAAATCCTTGGAAGAAAACACTAAAAGTGACTTAGACGAAGTAATTGCTTAAAATGTAGACTCTTACCAAAATATGTTGTGGTGACGACGAGCAACTACGTAACCCTACACTGCGCGTGGCACGACACGCACTTGGCCAGGTTTTTTTTATATAAACAAAAGATTACAGAGACATAATGTTTTCAAATGTCGCATAAAGTCATGTTTCGGTACAATTTTCTCTTAGACGTGACGTCACGAGCCCCAGGCGCGCTTTATCTTTGTAACTTTTTGGTTGATAGACAAAAGTAAAAATTATTGTTCATTATTTTTAAAAAATCCAACTGACGGACTAAATAAAATTTCGTTGACTGTACCCCGTCATCATCCCTATTCGAATGACGCTTCATCTTTGTAAAAAAAAATCTTCAGGAACAATAAAATAAATTCCTTTTCAATTATTTTTTAAAAAAACCAATTGAATCGTTATCTTTACATTGTTATGTTGTACTACAATAAATAAAATATGTTTGTTTATCTAGAAGTTGTGAACGTGATATTCACACGAATTTTCTAATAAGAGTACACCGTGCCGTTGTCAATTAACCAAACAGTCATTGTTCGTGTAACAAAACATCAATGTCTTCACATATTTACAGCATGTGTTGTACAAAAAGTAAAATGAAATGGACAAAGCTAAAAAAATATCTTTACCTGTAAGTGTGTAATGGAATCTTTGACGTGATTTTTACCCACTACAAAATGTCAGACTGAATTAAAACTTTGCACACAAAGACTGATGACAATACAATATTTTAATAAAATAAATATACTAAAATATTTTAATAATATAAAATACTAAAAAGTTTTCAATTTTAATAGTTACAACACACTTAGAAAACGAGGGACAGTGAATATAAGCAAAAGTTTAGTAAATAAATGAATAATACATAGCCCCAGCGTGTTTTGTATAAAGTTTTTTACAACTAAATTATGGAATCAGTACTTTTCAATCACATTTAAGTAGTTATATTGTAGACAGTAAGGAATATTATTGAAATGACAAAAGAGATTGAGCCCTCACTTTAACATGATAAAATTTTGATCATCATTATATTATACTGGAAAATAGCATTTTTCGCGTAAATCCCCTCCATCTTAAAATAAAATGCCTACTTTAATATGATGAGTACTAGGCCCTTAATCGCTATACCAACCTGGAGATAGGAGTCGATTGGCAACAAAGGAGTGATAAATCTAGTTTAACAAGTGACCTTTTAGACTTGAACAAATAAAATTACACGAGATGTACAGCTTCTTTCCTTAATTAGCGCCATTTTTAAGAGAGGTATGGCACAGCGGATTTTCTGCTCGCATTGAAGCGCCGTCTAGTAAGTAACCTCCAACATTTTTGACCACAGTTTATATATTTATATTGCATTTATTTATATGTTTATATGTAAAATAACACTACCACTTAGTGGTGTTGTATTTCTGCTGGTGAGTAGAGCTCCAGGGCTCCTCGGGGTTAAGGATTGGGTTCAAGCCGGCAAGGTGAGGATGGCTTAGGGTTACCAGGCTTAAAAATGAAAAATCCTGTCTGACATGTCTAAAAATCCTGGTTTTGATAAAATGACCGGTTACGCACCTGTATTAAATAAAAATCTAAATACTATGATATTTATTTAAGTTTAGTAAGTAGGTACGTTTTTATTTACTTATATTATTTAGACCCATATTTTTGATTGCTAGCAACCGCATGCAAAAAGTTGTTTTTTCCAGCTATTTCGCAATAAAATTGTTCACACGTCACGTGTTTATAGTTATATTGCGTGCGGCACCCGTTGCTTGAGCGGGCGGGAGGACATGCAAGTATGACAAAAATCCGGTCTGATGTAAAATCCGGGCGGAGTCCGGTCTAACACGTAAAATCCGGTCTAGACCGGCTTTATCCGGTCAGATGGTAACCCTAGGATGGCTGGAGATGCTCACTTTTTGCAGCATCAGCTATCTTCGCGACTGGACTCCATTTACTGCGATGAGCGGGAAAAATAATAATACCAGACAGGTCGGGTTTGTGTGTCCGGTAACCACGTCAAGCCACCGCGACCAGCCCCTCTAGCATGACCATCG